AAGGAGGTGCACCCCACACTGGACATCTCTCAACTAGAGGCAGAGTTCGGAGGACCCACTGGAGGTCGGCCTGACAAGGTTACTGAGGAGGTTCCAGAGGCGGCCAGTGCTGAAGTTCCTCCCACAGATTAGGGTTTCCTTTGTAATGGCTTCGGCCCCCATGTACTTCAATTTCATGAAATGGAAAATTTTGTTAAATTTCTGTAAAGTTCTTTTGCTTCTGCTTCTAACCTCTTAATAATCTGAGGCCAGAGCAATTAGGAAAATGCGAGGAAACGTTTGTTCATCAGCTAATAAGTGACGATCGAATCACTCAAATGAACATTTTGAAGAACTGAGGAAACCTTTCCCTGGCTGACCCGGTTTGGAACTGAAAATTCATTACCGAAGATAAGTTACACCCCTTAAAAACGGTGATTTCATCATTTAATAATCTTTACAACCAACGTCGGATCAGGACAACCGATTTAGTTATGACGACCTAGGATCAAATCGGAACATTCTTGTTACTGGTAATAGTTTCTCAAGTGCTCTATGTTCCACTTGTGAGGTAACACCCTTCCAGACATATCTTCGACCTCGAAAGTACCAGGTCGGGATTCTCCCCAAATGCGGTACGGGCCTTCCCAGTTTGGGCTAAAAACTCCTGACCCGGTTGGTTTCGAAGATTGGAACACCCTTTTGAGAACAAGTTCGCCCAAGCGGAGAGTTCTGTTTCTAACCTTGGAGTTGTAAAAACGGGTCATCTTACAATGGTATTTCGCTAAGGTTATCTGGGAAGCGTCTCTCTTCTCCTCAAGGAGGTGTAGTTCACTTATGTGTGCCTCATCGTTGCTGATCTCATTGAAATGTATCCGCCGATGTGATGGGACACCGACCTCGACCGGACTCATCGCTTCGGCTCCGTAGGTCATTGAGAATGGGGTCTCACCCGTTGCGGTCCGGCAAGTCGTTCTGATGGCCCAGAGGACGTGGGGGAGTTCGTCAACCCATGCGCCTTTTGAGGCATCCAGTTTCCTTTTCAGGGTGTGCTTGATAGTCTTGTTCACTGCTTCGACCTGTCCATTTGCCTGAGGGTGATGCGGAGTCGAGAAGTCTTTCTTTATGCCTAGTCCGTCGCATAACTCTCGCATCTTCCTGTTGTCGAACTGCCGCCCATTATCAGAGACAATGGAGTGAGGGATGCCGAACCTGCAGATGACGTTTTTCCAAACGAACTTCGTAGTGTTGGCTTCGGTGATTCGGGCAAGGGGTTCTGCCTCGACCCACTTAGTGAAGTAGTCGATGGAGACAATGGCAAAAGTTGCGCTCCCTCTACCCTTTGGTAGCGGACCAATGAAGTCGATGCCCCACTTGGAGAACGGCCAAGGGCTGGTCACTATGGAGAGGCTCTGCGCAGGCAGTCTTTGTACGTTCGAGAAGCGCTGGCATTTGTCACATTTCTGGACAAATTGGCAAGCATCCCTTTTCAGGGTTGGCCAGAAGTAGCCCTGACGGAGGACCTTGTGTGCCAGAGCCGTCCCTCCGGAGTGATTCCCGCATATCCCTTCATGTATTTCTCTGAGTACGTAGGTGGCCTCTTCACCGCCCACACATCGAAGAAGGGGAGAGGCAAAGCCTCTCTTGTAAAGGGTTCCTTCGTGAAGGACGAAGTGTGCGGCCCTTCTTCTTAACTTCCTTGCTTCACTTCTGGAAGCAGGCAGCGTTTGCTCTTTTAGATACGCCATTATGGGCTGCGTCCACAATGGGGTGACTTCTATCCACAGCAACTCCTCACCTTCGAAGGTGGAGGGCTTTGACAAGTGCTCAATGGGGATGATGTTCAGAAGCTCTGAGTTCACGCTGCTGGCCAAGGGGGACTTGAGTCAGTTCGAACTTTTCGAAATGGGGAATTATGTCCAGAACCAGCTTCAAGTATGCAAGCATGTTATCATCTTTGGCCGCGAAATCCCCATTTACTTGATTCACCACGAGCTGAGAATCACTGCTTGCCAGAAGCTTCCTGACCTGCATTTCCTTGGCGAGCCTTAGTCCTGCTAGAAGGGCCTCATATTCGGCTACGTTGTTCGAGGCTCTGAAGCCGAATCTTACCGCACA